TTCAAACAGATTAATCCTCCTACTGAATTTTGCTGGGAACCCATGCAGTATTTACCCAATAAGCAGTTAATATCCAGTCCATTTTTGATCATTAATGCATAGACAGTGCTGAGATCCTCTTAACAGAAACAGAATGACCCTTCCATATGGAATTGTTGGGGTTGAGAAGGAGGAAAAACAACAAGACACACACGCAGGAAAATAATCACACCAGCAGGAAGTTTAATTTCTATATTTTCAGTATGTGCTGCGGTTTTTTGTTTTTTTATTTAAACCAAGAGTCAATGAAATATTTGTAACTAGACAGCTGATTCTTAGTAATAGGGTAAAATTATATTTTTTTCCAAATGTGCTATTACTGCCAGGAAAAAAAAATGAACAGGAAATGAAATGGTTACTGCAATGAAACCTGCTTTATTATATGCATTTTTAAGATGACTGGCTTCAAAGTCATATAACATTGCAACCTGAAACTGTATATGAAATTTAGTAATATAGATACTTGTGATCCAGGTACCATGACTGTAGGAGGCAAACTTTTAGAAGACTACTCAACTTCCTTGGAATATACAAGAAATATACAAGCTTCTTTCCCATGTAGTTCTGCCAGTACCAATCTATAGCACTCAGGCCTGAAACCCTCCCTCCCCCTGCTCCACCTCACACAAGGTGAACCCCAATCTGGAGCTCCGTCTCCTCCCTTCTCTCCCCTCCCACCCTGCAGACAGCACAGGAGTGGGGGAGTGGGGGGCTGAGCAGGGCTAGGGGACAGAGTCTGCAGACAGGCAGGTCCTCCTGGATTGGCTCCAAAGTGGAGCTCAATTCCTCCTCCCTCCCCCCTGAACCAACATTGAAAGTTGTAGTGGGGCATGGTAGAGGGGGTGCTCTAGCTTATGGCACTTTCTGTGAAATGCCATGAGTTAGAATGGGGAGCTGCACATCTGTCAGCACCCTCTGTGTCTAACACAGAGACTGCAGATGGTTGACTCCATATATCACGCACACATCTTTGAACCAAGAACTCCCAGTTCACTCTTACAGCAATTCAGATTTTGTTTTTTACTCTCTTTGTGGCTCAGAAAAGCCATTTCTAAGCCCTTCCTGACCAGGCTTGCCAGACATCTTCTGCTGTATGGTGTAGTATCTGTGCACCTAAACAGAGGCTAAACTAAAGAGAGCATAATTCAAGATGTCAACTCAGTGTCAAAAGCAGAATGAAGGGTGAAGAGGCTGATTTATCACAGTATAGTTTGATTGGGTACCAAAGGGAAAAAATGTGATGGGCTCATCCATCAGCTCACACAATCTTGAGGTGAAGAACTCCATCCTTAGAGCCAGTGGCCCCTTGAGCAAATCTGAAAATGCTGTAACAAGGAACAAAGTCTAGATGGGGAGGTGGGGGAAGTATTATGTTTAAGTCCTGGTGTGACAGGTGGCCATCTCAGGGCCAGATCACAATGTTGGCCCGCCTGCCTGTCTCTGTGTTAACCACCCGCCTTCCTTGCCTGCTATGCCTCGATCATAATAATTATGAGAGATGTCACTAAGGTGGGAGGCTTCCCATTGCTTGCCCTGGTGACAAGGGCATTATACACAGCTCCAACCTCACTTTGCTGTGTCCCATGCCTCACAGATGACAACCTAAGTTAATGAATAGCTCCGGCCTACAGCCAGGCCAAATCCTGCCCCTTGTAGGGCCTCTAACATGCAGCGCGCACACACTGCCCTCCACTGGGCCTTTTTCACACCACCCTCTCTCACCAGACCTCTTGTACTTTGCCTGCTCTCATCAGGCCTCTCACATACTGTCCCCTTCCTGGGCCACTCTCAACCTGCCTTACTCCATGCAGCACTTCAGGTTCCCCTTGGGCACTTCAGGCTTCCCTACTCACTCTCCAGCCGGGGTGCATGCAGCACTTCAGGCCATACGGTCACAGACCTTACTCTACATGACCCATAGCCTTATGCCATACTCCGGGCTTAACTCAGCCGCTGGCCCCTCTCACGCACAGCACTTCAGGCTGCCAGCATACACCCAACTCTATGTGGGCCTACATGTACTTCTGCCCCCTCACTGGGGCCAGTGGAGTCTTTCACCCTATGGGGCTCAGGTACTTCTCCTAAGTATGCCTGCCCCACCCCCCCAACACTGGGGGGTCTTCCACCCTATGGGCTCAGGGAACTCTTCCTAGGTGTGCCTGACCTTATGCCATTGGGGTCTTTCACCCTATTGGTTCAGGTGCCTCTCTCTAATTTGTACCTGGCTCCATGCCTGTCCCTACCTTGGGGCAACCCACCAGGATGCAGAGGCTGGGGTTTTAAGGCATCCTTACCAACCTTTAACCAGGGAAGTAACTGGCCTGGCATTTCTGGGGGACTGTTCCACCACGAACAGCCCCACCAGGCCACCCGTCCCCAGCAGGGTGCAGTTTTCAGTCATACCAGGACCACGAGCCTCCTGCCATTCCCATAGTTCCTGCCCTTACCTCCCAGATGTTCCAAGGAGTAGCTCAGCTGAATGTTGCTTGTCTGGCTGCCAGCAGCCAACTGCTGCTCCAGCTCTGAGGGCCTAGGTTAAAATGGAGGCTGCTCCACCCCCTCCTCCAATCCCGGGGCCCTCCTGGGGTCATGTGCTAGCCTCATCAAGGCTAACCCACACCTGCCTGCTGCCTGTTCTCAAACCTTAAAGTGGCAGGCACCAAAGGTACTCTGCCACACTTGGCCAACACCTCTGGAGAATTTTGGATGTGCAGTTAGGAAAGAAAAGCAGAGGAGAATCCTGACTGTGCTCATGTACAGATGTTCCTTTTCCACCCCTTAGCTTCAATTTTGACAACAATATTGAAGTGTGCCTGTTTCTAAATTGAATATGACTTGGTTGTTTGACTGCAGAAAGCAGTAGTACATAACCGTTTAGGTTGGAGATGGGTGAGTATCTCATGCTCTTGAATCTGCAGGGGGGATTTTATGACTTCAAACGCTGTCAAGGTCACTAGAGATAGTTCTTTTTCTTTTTCTTAACTACCAAGCTGCCTGCTCCTGGAGTCTTATGAATACACTGGAATCTCAGCCTTCAGAAAAATACAGTCCTTGAACTCATGGCTGCAGAGCACAGCTTGAAAGGATATATGTCACTAGTAGAAAGATACTCCAATTACAGGCCATTTTGAATGTGTAACTAAAGACGAAAGGCCAGAACAATGGCATACTGAAAGGGAACTGTGAAACCCCTAATCCAATCCCAGGAGCAACCAAGTGCCAGTTTTGCATCTAGTTTAAGTTAGATCAGCCTCAGAGGAATCTCCTGGCACAAAGCTGAAGGCAGCTTTTTAACTTTGTTAGCTTTCTAATCCAACGGGGCTGGAGTAGGGCTAGGGGTTTGTCTCAAAGACGGATAAAAATGCCAACACAATCAGAAAGATTTCACACAGAATCAACAGAAATCGTCAAGAATTAATTGATCAGAAGTTAAACAGACTGTGTGGTGTAGCTAGGTGACATCATAACATACCATATAGCAAGAGAGGAAGCATTTAGATACTTTCAAGACTACAGAAAGGAGATTAATGGGAAGGTAGTTGAGCTAGGGAAAGTTAAAAGTTAAGACCTAGAAAACTACGGATCCATTATACATGCTCAAGTTGTTTCCTAGGGGAAGTGAGGAAAGAATCATATAAAACAAGAAGTAAATTAAAAATTTAGTTAGCCACTCTGTAACAAGTAGTGGAGAACATACTGTAGGGAACACTGCTGAAACACCAAGGGGATGGAGGAGGACGAACTAAGATATGTCTATGACTTGTTTCTAAATATATTTGGACATTTTTTTCTTTGGGAATTCACTTCTGAATCTTTCAATCAGATTCACTGACAGTCTTTTGCTACTGAGTTAAGAGGTTTCCATTCTCTTTTGCAGGATATGGAGAAAGTAGAAAATCATGTCTCTTTTTTTTTTCCCACCCGTGCTTCCTCTTTTTTTTGTTCAGAGTCAGAAAGGTGTTTCAAATGTAACATTTTTTGCAGTCACAGAAAGGATAGGGCTGAGGGAGGGAGCAATGACATCCAAAGATGTAACTGCACCATCTATGTCATGAAGGCATGTTGGCTGTTGACAGACATGAAAAATACCAAAAACAGGCTTTACCAAAAGCAGTAGCATGTTAGTTCGACCTGGTTCTGCAGCATTTGTATAGATCAGATGCGTCAGTGGGTTTTATTGGCACTTTTATCTAAAGGTGATTCATTCAGCTATTAGATAAAAGCCCCAAAAAGCATCACTAAAGCACCCAATCTATACAGATGTGGGTTCGACTAACGTGATGCCTCTTCTGGTCATGCATTGGGCTTGATGCAGGAGCATGTGGAGTTTCTAGTAAAGCACCATTTGGGGAGAGTTTTTTTTTTTTTTATGTCTGTAAGCATTCTATGTGACTATTGCCTCTGCCTTGGACAGATACTTCAGAAGCAAACATCTCCCTACTAAACCCAATCCCAGAATGGCACTGAGCTAAGTGACACCTTCAGTTGTTTTGTAACTATTTGTACTGCTGCAGTGTCAAAAGACCCCAGCCAGATTGCTGGCGCTCTTGAAAGTTCTTTGGTGCAGATACATTTTACATTATATTTCTTATAAAAAGTTTAGTTTTTTTTAAAGGGCACAAAAGATTTAGACACCCAACTCCCATTCATATAATGTGGAAGTTTTGTTGCCTCATTCCCCTCTGTGCCTTTGACAGTTTTTTCTATGTTTCTAAAACTCCCAAATCAATGGGGTGCTGTATTGATTGCCTTTCAGGGACCATCATAATATAAATAGTCAGAATAGCAGGTGCTGCTAGGCAGGGGACAAACATCAAAATCTCTACCACTACGAGCCTACGGTGCAATGACTTATGTTTGACTCCATGTTGCAAATTCCTGGGTTAGCATATGAATGACCAAACCACTTCAGAAACTAGAAAGAAGAGAAGAGGAAAAACAAAATTACTTTCCAGACTTACATCTGTCTGAATGATGCTCCACGCATTAGTTAAGCCAATATTTCCATCTGTCCCATACAAGTGAAGCCCTTTCTTCAGATCCCGCTGAGCATACTTATCAATCTAAACACAAAAGAAATGACATTGAATATGAACACACAGAACATTAAAATTCTCAGTGTCCCACCACAGGATGATCTCTGCATGAGAGTTCAGGTAGTGAGCTTCTACTGATCTGAGCCAAACTTATACCAGGAACAAAACTGCTAATGTTTCACTTCAGTACTAGGTACTTGAGCACCTGAGAAAACGGGGTGCTGCCCTTACATTTAGAACTGTTGTTTATCATTCAACTCATGGCTGACAAGCAAGTCCTTTTTTCTGTCTCAGCCTTCTTCTTCCTCCCTCTCAGCCATCCCTAAGGTTAGCGGGTTTGGAGTTGGCCTATTGAATATACTCCTATATTCCCTATGGTGTTTGCACAAGCACATTTGGAAGCTGCTGCTCCTTCTTCTGAGTGGCCACTGCACCTATTTGTGACAGCAGGATTGGCAGAGAAAGATGCAGACTGGTGGTGAGGCTGTGAGGGTAAACTATAATGCAGAAAGATTACGGATGAATAGGACACTGGGGTGCAGTAGCCAAATGGAGCTGCTAAGCTACCTAAATGAATAACTTAAAATACCAGAAATGGGGTTAACTTCCGAAAGTTCCG